AAGTCACCACCGGTGGAATTGAGAATCCTTTGTCCCATTTCTTTGTTCACTCAGTGCAGGGACAGTAGTTTTATAGAGTCCACTGGAGTATATAAGAGTTATATGTTTGATATTGACCCTGCCAGTTCAGACACTTATATCGGCCAACCATTGAATCTCCACGGCGGGAAAGCGAGGCAGTGCGACCATGTGTCCAGTCCAACCCAGTTTGAGGCTTTCACGGCCTGCGAACAGTGTACGAAACAAGGTAGGTTGGTTTTGCGTTGGTTTGTGGATGGGTGCATGTACACAATTCCCTTTTGATTAAACTAGCGCTTTTTAGCTAGGTTGATGATTCACGCAATGAAACCTGCAACCCACTTAACATCTAATGGGAGAACTGGACCAGCATGGCCTGCAGCGTTCTCCTTTCAGGAGTGCCATCAGCTGGACAAAGGTGGTGAAAAGGGCTTCGCTATATACACCTATATGTGGTATATGTTTTTGGTTGGTGAGTTAGTGAACAAGAGTTGCCACTACAACACTTTGGTGAGCAACAGTTGGAACACAAATTGTAATTAGAATCAAGCCTAGATTGACACATCGCATGAGTTTGCGAAGTATGCGTGCGTGAACCCTTCTTAACTGACGCGAGACCTGTGATTGAAGCGGCGTTCATGAAGCAAGTGGCCCACCCTCCACAACTCGCGCGAAATCCGAAAACACTCTAGAGCGTCACGAACGCGCGAAGGTTTTGGTGTTGTTTTTTTGTACGTTTCCTCCTTTCTCCCTATCACCACCGATTGTTTTCACAAGTGATCACATCCACAACAGGTGTGCCCATATGGGCCTATCGGAAACATTTTTTTTTGTGCTTTACGCTGTTCTTTTGGGTTGGGTCTTATTTGCCCAAAACACATATATGACATTGTTTTTAACGAGGTGAACCTAGAGCCCATGCCCATGCTGGCACCAGAGCCAGGCATGCCTAGAACCCACGCTGTTGAGAGTATAAATGACTTGTGCAAAATCCTAACTGTGACCAGAAAAGCTTAGCAAGCTGTTTGGCCACTACACTGTACAGTTGCCACGATTCAGCTGCCACGCCAACGCATGAACTAAAGGCAAATGGGTTTGGGCGGGTGGTTGGGTGGGTGGGAGGGATTTTTCACGGCCATACCGGATTTCACGGCCATACCGGATTTCACGGCCATTTGCTTTTTTCACGGCCATTTGGCCAAACGACCATCGATCACCAAATTGGCGATCAAATGGCCCCCCAGGTTGGTGAATGGTGCCCGTGGTCACGTCGTGTCCGTTGTGCCGGCGGAGCAGCGCCCCGCCGTGAGCGGCGATCGGGTCGAACCGGGAGCGTCCGCGGCTGAAGTTGGCGGCGTGTCTGCAACTGCCGCAGAATACGTCATCGTCGATTTCCCAGATTACGTCGGTCCGCTCATGGTGGCAGGACACCCGACGTGGGTGTGCATCCCAAAGCAAACCAACAGACACGAAAAGTTTCGTGGCCTGGCTCGCACACAGTTTCCTCTCGTTTTGTGCTATGGCATGACGGTTCACAAAAGCCAAGGTTTGACCCTGTCCTCCGACTGTGTTTTCAACATGGAGCACGAACCGACTTGGTCGCCTTTCAAGCAGATGTGCGGCCTCGCCTTTGTCGGGTTTTCGCGTGTCACCGACTTTGCAATGATGGCATTCAAACACGTGCCGGATTATTGATCTTTCCAAAGCATGGTCGACACCGACTTGTTTCGATGGCGGGCCGAATTGGAGCAGCGTTTGGATGAGTTACACGATCGAACCGCTGAGATTATGTTTGAAGGTCGGGCTTCCGTGCAAGAAGACGTGCAACGTCATCGTGCTTGGTCTGAAAGCTTGAAGGGTGCGCAGATGAGTCCTGAGCAAGTGGCTGATTTGACCCACATGCTGTCTTTGCAAGGGGTGTTGCCTCAGCCAGGTTACACGGACAAGCCTGTTCGCCGCATGGCTAGCAAAGCAGGTGGTGGCCGGACCAAGCGTAAGACCATGCGCGGTGCCACCGCGAAGACGACCAGCTTGCCGGATGTGGGAGATGGGACCAGGGAGCCGCAGTGTGATGCAGGCGGTTTGTCGGCTGACGAAGATGCGTATTACGCAGAGCTGCACGAAGAAGAGGAGTTGGAAAAGGCAGGTTTTGAGGCATACTTGGAAGACAGGGCTTTGGAGGACGCGCGTCGCAGAGCGCAAGAAATCGCCGCTGATTTCTACGACGACGAAGCCTACTTCGATGATTCTTAGGTCAGATGCTGCCTTGAGGACGCCTGCACAGCTGCTCAGAAATAGTCCTGGAGTGTGCCGTTGTGGGTGGCTTTTTGTTGGGGGTGGTCCTGGAGTATGCCGTTGCGGGCTGCTCCGCCAGCACCTCGTTTGCCGTAGGCTTGGCTCCTTCGCGCTGCCTGCGGGGGTGCACCGCAGATCGTGAACAGTGACGGAGTACGTCGTTGCGGACTGCTCTACCAGCCTTCGCAAGCGTACGACGTGGCTTCGACATGGGCAGCACAGTGAAAAAAAAGCAAAGCTGTGGGCTGGGGTGCTGCGCTGTAGGCATGAGATGTAGGCATGAGATGAGAGGAGAGCTTGCCTACGGACCATGGATGTCATGTGTTTCCGCAGCCGTTTCTTAGTTGTAGTTGCTTCTTATTGGAAGTGTACATCGAGATGGAGAGACAGCGCAGAGTTGGCGCACATGCGTTGAAGCACTCATGCTTTTCTGTCCGTGGCGTGTGGTGGTGTGACCCGCGTCGCGGTGGAAATTACAAATTCGACGCCCTGTGTAACTACATTCACTCCGACGCGCGGCGGTGTGATCCGCGTTCCTTGCTATGGCCGGGAGGCATCGATCTGCGTGCGTCGCTGCGGACCGCGCAGACAGCCGGGACGACATGCTGCTTAGGTTAGACCCCCGAGTATGCCGTTGCGGGCTGCTCCGCCAATACTTTCGTTCGCCTGCACAGCTTCTCAGGAATTGTCCTGGAGTATGCCGTTGCGGGCTGCTTCGCCAATACTTTCGTTTGCCGTAGGCTTGGCTCCTTTATGCTGCCTGCGGGGGTGTGCCGCAGATTTTTCGTAGACAGTGACGGAGTACGTCGTTGCGGACTGCTCTACCACAGCCTTCGTTGACCGCGCTGAGCAAACACGCATGGGATGAGGTGAAGAAAAGCAAAGCTGTGGGTGGTGTGCTGTATACACATGAGCTGCATGGGCAAAAAAGGAGGAGAGCTTTTCTACGGACCATGGATGTCATGTGTTTCCGAAGCCGTTTCTTAATTTGTAGTTGTTTCTTATTTGAGGTGTAGAGATGGAGAGACAGCGCAGAGTTGGTGCGCGAGTGTTGAAGCACTCATGCTTTTCTGCGTGGCGTGTGGTGTTGTGACCTGCGTCGCGGTGGAAATTGTAAATTTGAAATCCTCTGTAACTAAATTCATTCCGACGCGCGGTGGTGTGACCAACGTCATGTCACCACCCTCGTAGCTAGAGAACCACCCCCGCCGCCCGTTGTTCCACCTTGTCCAGCCCTGCCAGAGGCGCTGGGTGAACCATTCCTGGCTCTAGTCGGGAGGCATCAATCTGCGTGCGTCGCTGTGGACCGCGCAGACAGCCGGAAAATGCGTTGCCCGACAAGGAACAGTTTCGCTGTTTTTGCACGGAGGAGCACACCCAATGTTGGAAGAAATGGTTTTGACTTTGAAAACTCCACCCACTTCGCATGCCCGCAGCAGATGCCCAGTTGCTTCAGCACGCCGGTGTGGGCTGCTGATCTCGCCTTGGTATAGCACAGACCTTGCACAGGTGGCACTGTGGTGGTCAAAAAGTCCGGAGGGCGTGCGACTGACCAGGGACACGCATGTTGTTTTTGTTTTGGAACCCGTCCAGTCGGATTGGGTTGCCTGGGTATGATTTGTTTTGTTTTGGATTCTGTACGTATAGCTGACCATGACTAGGGACACTGTTTGGGAAAGAACCAGCGGTTGGACTGGGTTGACTGGGTGTGACTTGCTTTTGTTTTGGGATCCGTACATGTAGCTGACCATGGTTTGAAGGTGCTAGCTAGCAAGCCAGAGAGCAACTGGTGACTTTGTACTACAACTTGAGTACGCGGAGCAATCTGTGCAGCTAGAAGCTGAGAACTGGCGACTTTGTAGTACAACTTTCGTACGCGGATGAGTCATCTCTCGCTGGTGAGTCATCTCTTGCTCCTGAGTCATCTCTCGCTGCTGAGTCATCTCTCACTGCTGAGTCATCTCTCGCTGCTGAGTATCTGGGGAGCTGGAAAATGATCCTGCAGGGAGCACAGACCTTGCACAGGTGGCGCTGTGTGTGTGTGTGTCAACAGTCCGGAGCGCATGCGTTTGGCTCAGTGAGTGACACGAGGGACACGCATGGTGGAGAGAACGTGGACACTCCTATAGGTCAATTTCTTCTTATAGGAAACTTCCGCCGCCGGCTTGCCCGGAAACTACTTGTAGGCTGGAGGCCATCGCTAGTAGGTTGAAGTTCTTGCTGCAAGGTCTTGTCTTTACAGAAAGCTTAGGTGCAAAAACAGACAAGGTCCGTGAGGCCAAACATACCGGTCTAAAAAAAGATAAGCACTAGGAGCAAGAACGCTACTAGGAGCAAAGGGCATCGCTACGAACGGAACAAAGACACTACTAGCTCCTGGCCTTACTACTAGGAACAAGAAGCACTAGACACTAGAAGCCTTTTAGTGTAGTCACCAATCGCAAGCACAGACACTCACATGTCTATCAGCTAAGAAAAACCACACGTAATTACCACACAAGAATACCGTGGATGACAGTGGATAACCTCGCAATCCTGTGTGAGGTTCAGGATTGCTGGACATCCAATGCATTAGAACTATATAGTTTGTATATAGAACTTGAGGATTTGCGTCAACCTTGTTTCACAACCTTCTTTTGAGTTTCAATTTTAACTTCCAGTTGCCCCGTTCTGCTGTCACAGCCCAGGCAGAATCTCTTTGCTCACTAGCCCTGGACTACGGTTTCCTTCCGCACACAAACATTGGCCCCCTGAGCCGCAGCGAGATGAGCAGATTATTTGCATTGAACGCCTCCATGGGCTTAATGTTGGAGACCGTGTCATCTTTGAATGGACACGGAGAGGCTCGTTTGTGTGTGTGTCGTTTTTGTTGTGGCGACAAGTTTCAATAGCCGCAGTAATACGAATTGGCCGCTATTTCAATAATTAAGCTGTGAAAGTAGCAAATGGCGGCCTATGTTTGAAAGCTACATACGCAATGCTCGCTCACGCGCACACAGTGAATTGCTGGCAAGCGTTAAGCTGCCAACGAAGCTTGCCGTCCCTTCGAGACACAAACTACAAATTGGTCATCTTGCTGCGCCGCGGATGCTTGTCTTTCTCAGGAACAAGAAGCTACTAGGGGCCCTAGGGGCTCCTGGCATCGCTACTAGGAGCAAGGACGCTACTAGGGGCTCCTGGCCTTGCTATTAGGAACAAGGTTAAGTTGCAGCGTGTCGCAGGTGAGCTAAGCAGCGCGATGCGGCTTGCTGTTGCTTCGCTGGCTCGGCACACAGCATGGCCAAAGGTGCGCATGCGCGATGCCCTCCACGCGTGATGTCACAGTGCCACGCGCTTTGTTGAGACCTGTGTGGAAAGTGCGCTTCCGTGGCACTGTGCCATTCGCATATGGCCGGATGGTTCATAAACACTCAATCAATGGTTGCCAGGGGAGAGGAGAGAGAGAGAGGGGGGGTTCTGCCCTTGGACGCTTCGCTTTCCTATGTTCACGCAGGTGCACCGGTTTGCTCCGAGCAAAGCTCCTTCACTGCGCATTCAACAACTCCGGCAGGCAGGTGAGCTCCAAGTGCCCTTCACCACGGGTTTGTTGATCGGGATTGGTGAGACCCAGTCCGATCGTCTGAGAGGCCTAGAGCTCATCGCCCATTTGGCGGAGGAATTTGGACACATCCAAGAGGTCATTCTCCAACCTCATTCGTGGGGCAGTCGCCAGACACTGACGCCAACCAGTCGGTCAAGCCGGACGAGCGGGTCCAACATCCTTTTGGGGTGTGAGGCGCTTGCAGTTTTGCCGGAGCTGGTCAGAGCTGCACGGAGCATCCTGCCACCGGACGTGACCATTCAGATTCCACCGAACTTGTTTTTACACAGTCCAAATTCCACCGATTCAGGCAGCTTTTCAGAGAGCGAGAATTGGCAGCTCTTCCTGGAATGTCTTGAGAATGGCGCTCAAGATTTGGGCGGTATCTCGCCCAGAGATGAGGTCAATCCAGACTTTCAATTTCCTGCGATCCAACAGCTTCAAGAAGCTCTTTTCAAGGACCGATTTAGCTATGTTGGCCGCTTCTAGGTTGGAGGAAGCTATTTGGTGTGGAAGGAACTTGTGCTTTTCATAGCTCTACAAACCGTGTTTGGCCCAAAGTTGGGTCCAAAGCACCATCCAAACAGGCTGAGAGTTCGGGCAACTGGAGAGTTCGCTCAGGCGGTTCATAGCACCTAGTCCGTTTTAGTCGCACGTCCATCTTTCGCGCAAAGTCCTGGTTTGTCCTCAGTTCGATGAAGACAGCCAGTTGATGATCTAATCATGTGAGAGTTTCTTTGTATCCTTGCAGGTAGAAATGTTCTTTTTACAAAGCCTCTTTGCTCACTTAGCCACCTAGCTGCTATTCATGCCCCCTTCCTCTCACACAGGCCTGACCCCCACTTGACAAAAGTTGAGATTTTACTCCAAGATTTGTTACCATCAGATTTCTTGTATGTTGTTTCCCTCGTCTCAAGACACATGGAACATGTGTTTTCTGATTCGGAACATGGTCTGATCCTCCGGTCCTTGTGACAGGAAAGGACGTGGGGAGTGATGGGACTAGAGACGAAAGGCATCGAAAGCAAACCCGGAATCGCCCGAACGGTGTGTCGGACTTTGAACAACGGGCATCGCTACGAACGGAGCAAGGGCGCTACTTTGGCAAAAGACGGCCCTTTGGTAAACCAAGACGTCCATCGACAATGCTTCCATGGAAGTGCACAAATGTTGGCAAAACTCGCTCAAGCATAATTATGTCCAACCACCTGCGGACCCTTAAGTCTGCTGTTTACCTAAATTCACCAAGTTGAAAGATGTACAAAATTTGATGAACTGAGGTCGTGTTTCCTTTAATTTGTAATGTAAATGTTGAGAAAAGGTATCAAATTCATCAAGAGTTCTTCACAAAAGGACATAGCTGCTATGCTTCGGTGACTTGATTTCTGATAGAGAAATGACCACCTTCTTCTTGTGGATTACTTGTGGCCAAGTTTCTCAAATATAATTCTGGCTTGTGGGTTACTCGTGGCCCAGGTTCTACCTGTGGAGTACTGGTGGGAAATGTTCTCAAGTACCACTTTACTTGCGAATTGCTTGAGCAAAGTTCTAAGTATGAGTTCACATTTTACTTGTTGCTAAAGCCCAAATATGGTGTAAGAAGTGCCTTTCGTTCAGATATAACAAGTGACCCTTGTTTTCTTATGGTTTTGTTCAATCTTTGGAAGCAGTCGAGAAGTGAAGGACCTGAGCCGGTAGCGTCCGTGCTGAGCTGCACGAGGTCGCTACGTTTGCTTCACTTGTTTTTCATTTTGGTTTCTTTGCCTTATGAGCAAAGGACGCTACTAGCATCGCTACTAACTAGGAGCAAGGGCCTTACTACTAGGAACAAGAAGCTAGTAGAAACAATAAGTAATTTAAGTAAAGAGCGTCTCGAGTTCTAAAGGTCTAAGGTCAACAAAACCATGGTTTCCTTCTTGTTCCGCATCCTTCGCGGGGCAAAGCTCTCCTACCCTTCCCACACCTCCCTCCCACATCCTCCCGAAAATGTGCAAAACATATTGCTTTGCCTGGAGGAGGGCTACATCCTTCATCCGCGCCTTCCTGTTTATCCACGACACTTCTCCTGGTTGTCCGCTAGAGTTGCACAGACATTGCGTCAGAGATTGCCCACCGTCTCGGACTTCACCCACGAAGGGCCCTGAATACAGAGGAGGCCATCGCTCTTGGGAACAAAGGGCATCGCTACGAACGGAGCAAGGACGCTACTAGGGGCGCTCCTGGCCTTACTACTAGTAGCAAGAAGCTAGTAGGAACAAAGGCCATCGCTCTTAGGTGCGAGGCCCTGTTGGGAAAAGGGCGACCATGGGCCACCTACAGACACCTCTACTTCACGGAAGAGATTCCTTGCAACGTTTGAGATCGCTGAAGCTGAAGAAAGAAAATCTTCGACCTTCGACCAAGCGCAACTTGCGTGTGGCACACACGAGCGGGTGGCTATGTATGTTTGGACTTTTCTGCGGTTGCATCTCACCTCAACAGTAAGCTCTGAACCGATTTTTTGTTTGCCAGCAGAGAACAATATTTAAAGCTCGAACAGGCCAGAGCCGTTGAAAACCAAGAGCCGGCCAAGGCAGGAACCACACCCTGATTGCCCAAGAGCTTTACGGGCACGTAGTGAGCAGCGTTGTCGCAGCTTTGCAACCCTTGGCCATGCAGATCAATATCTTCAAGGCGGCTTTGTCAAAAATAAGAAACCCTGGAGATCTCGTTGTTTGCAATCAAAGTGGCAGCTCCAATCTTTTTCAACAACAAACGGGCTTTGATGGAAAGAGCCTGAAGGTCTTGAGTTAGTGTTGGAACTCACCGCTGTCAGGTACTGGCGAAGTACCAGGACAGGACTTTCTTCTTTGTATTCATGCCTCTGAACTGCACTTGCACCATTAGCAAAGCCCGGAATAATGTCAAACCCACTGCCATAGGCGTTTGGCACAACGTCATCGTTCATAGGGTCCATAGCTCTACTCTAGCTAGCCTACGGCTGATAACCTGTATTTTACAGGATCAGCTCTAATCTACTAGCTAACCCTGTCTAGCCGTTAAGCGTCCTTTTGACTCTACCACTTGAGAGTCACGCTACAGGTGCATGGGGATGAGTGGAATTTTAACAGTTTCCACTCTGTTGTCTAAGCTTCGTGGTTTTGCACCGATTCATTTGCATTTGGCTGCTTTAGCCTCAATCTAAATAAGCTTGCAAAGTTCTGTCTTTCATGACTACCGGTTGTGATCAATTGTGTGATGCAAGTAGCTTAGAATTGCAAGAGTCTTGTGTGACAATCGCTGACCAATCACTCAAAATTGATCCTGCCAAGTTAACAACTGTTTGCCATGCAAGAGACTAAACCAAGCAAGCAAGCAAACAAAGGAGCAAGGAGCTACAGGAAGGAGTGATGGGACATGTTCTGTACATAAATTGAACACCTCCTGCTGTCCTTCGGTCTTTGCATTCCTTTCATTAAATAGGCTCTCTTTTAGACACTCTACCTCTATCCCACTCACTCCTCTTACTGTTTTACAAATTCTGTACTCAATCGCTTTTACATCTACTTTCTGACACATTCTTCTCTACATATCCTTTTCGGAATCCAGTTTCCAGCCATACCCTGGAATTTGGAATCAATAGATACCTGTGCGACGTCATTATACCGTACCTTGTTTGATATCGCTGAAGCTGAAGAACCGCTTGATATCGTTGATATCTTGGAGGATCTCTGGGAAGGCTTCCTCTGCTTCCTTCATGGAGCAGGATCTCTTGGAAAGCTGGTGGCGAGATGGATGATGCCCAATGAAGAACTTCAGACAAATATGCCACATTTGTGGAGGCCATCGCTCTTAGGTTGGAGGCCATCGCTAGTCCAAAAGAAATTTGCAGAATGCAGATCTTCGGAGGCTGGAAGAGCGTTGGAATGTGCTTGACTGGATTGATGTATTTTCACATGTGAACTCCTTGCGGACTGTTGCTTCATTGGCTAAAGATCCTTGCTCAGCATCCTTGCTAAAGAGAAGGTTCCAGACGAGAGTAGAACAGGGAAGTAGAGATCGGATCTTTGCAATCGATTTGTTGGGCAAGAGGCGTGGTCATCGCGGTCGCATTCACCTCCGCCGGTGAGTAGCATGAGATGCAAACCATGCATACTGCAAGCACTCAAATCAAAGGACCAAAACTTCAGAGACCCAGAACCAGTGAGTTTAAATGATCTGAACACTGAGAAACCAAAAAACGTTGCAAAAGCAACAGAATAATATGATCAACAACAACAACAATAATAACAACAACAGAGAAACCTCGTTTGTCACTCTGCAATGGCGCATACCAAGGGAGGACCATGCCAAAAAGGCCGAAAACCTCCATAGCACAGCTGGAATTGTCGTTTCGCTGCTGAAGGAAAAAACAACGAAAAGACGAACTAAGAGGTTTCAACCTAATAGCAATGGCCTCCATCCTACTTGCGATGGCCTCCACTCTAATAGCGATGGCCTCCAACCTACTTGAATGCACAACAAAAGAATCAAAGAGGCAAAGAGAAGAAAAGCAATGATTTCTGTTAAACAAGCAGTTTGAGATGGAGACAGGAAAAAGATTCTCACAACATCCGTTTAGAGGCAAGAATGGTTTGCTTCTACTTGTAGTGGCGGCGCTCCTTGCTTTAGCGCCCAAAGCATTGCCAGAGGCCCGTGAAACAGATACTTGTTGTTTTTGAAGGACAATGCTCATAGCTGTCGTCGTGCTGCTGTATCCGGTCCCTTTCTTTTTTCCCGACTACTTTGCTTCCTGTCCAACCTTGCAGGCTCTTGTCTTGCAGAGGACAGCAAAATTGTGTGAGTGGCTGAAACTCTTGCAGAGGCATTTGACTTAGGGGGTTGAATCGAAATATTGACGTTTTAATGAGCGGATCTACCTGGGAGCTTTTTATGAGCTGAGAAAAATATGTGTTGAAGACAAAAGGCATGATAGAAAGACCAGCTACTTATATAGTACTTGGTCCTACCAGCCCCGATTGCTACAATGACTACCGTCCTACTGGAAGCGATACTCCCAGCGCGCATGCTTGAAGAACCTTTGCTTTTCCGTGCTTCCATGGGCACGTGCTCCCGATGTGCCTGATCAAGAAACAGCAGTGAAGAGTAGGTGTTTTGCTACGTTGTGGGGTCTTTTCTTTGCATGTTTTGCATGTCTTTTTCAGGAACAAGAAGCTACTAGGGGCTCCTGGCATCGCTACTAGGAGCAAGGATGCTACTAGTGGCCGTACTACTAGGAGCAAGAAGCGAATAGGAGCAAAGGGTATCGCTACTAGGAGCAAGGACGCTACTAGTAGCTCCTGGCCTTACTACTAGGAGCAAGAAGCTACTAGGAGCAAGGTTTTCGTGTTTCTTCTTCAGACTCGTTGGCCTTTCCGTTCCTTACTTTCTCTCAGTGGTTTGGAGGCCATCGCTAGTAGGTGGGAGGCCACCGATCCTTACTTTCCATCCGATCCTTTCTTTCTTCATTCTCTCGGTGTTTTTGCAGTGCCTCTTTGGAGTTGATCTGTTGATCTTCTTCTCAAGTCAAGGAGCCCAACAGCTCCCCCAAGCATTTCGCGAAGTCCGGATGCTGCACCAGTGCCCTGGATAATTAATCTCAAAAATAAGACACCAAGCAAATGAAGAAGGAAGGTTTCGCCTAACGAAGTACTAAAGTACTTTAATGTCTATATTATGTACTGAAGTCTAGGACCTAGGAAGTGTTTCGACCATGCAAAGGTCTTCACTTGGCTACTTAAGCTAGTAAGCTACGCCAAGCTACCTCTGACCTTCTACGCCCTTCCCTAACCTCCACCCACCATTTTGTTTGTTTCAGCTGAAAATGGGCTTAAAGAGGCTGCCAAAGTCAGGGCGGACACCCGTTGCATCGTCCTGAATCGGCAATATGCGAAAGACAAGAGCTTTGTTTAAGGTCTTGGACTTCAACAGCCCTTTTCTTTTGTTATCTTGCTGTTCACAAGAATGCGCAAGGAATTGCTGTTGATGTCATTGTTGGCTTCGCTTCAGTCAGCTTTGGGCAGGATGGTAGCCAAATGTAGCCAGTACGTACAAGAGGTAAGCTGTAGCGGGCAAGGAAGAAGCTATTAGATGCACGAGCTTCGCATGGTCAATTTGATCCCTAGATTTTAGGAAATGTCACTTCTGCCTTTGTCTCACTTCTCTTGTAGTTGCAAGGTTTGGTGATGTTAAATGGTAGAAAAGGAGTTCTTCTTTCAGGTTCTTGGCTCTCCGGCCACCATGCCGTGATCATGTGACGATTCTTTTCTTTGCTTGCTTTTTGTGGGGGGATGCACTAGAGCAACCTAATCATGCATGTGGTGTGAAGCAACCGGCATTCAATATGCACCCGGGGCGTGGCACCTTTTAACAAGACCACCTTAAAGGGTGCTCATATAAGAGAACCCTATTTTGTTTTGTACTATGTCATTATGTTTGTTTTTTCTTACGGGTGTGTTATTTAAAGCTCTTTGTGTTTGTAAGTTGTTTCCACAACGGGCTTTCCTGTGGCGATGATGACAAGCGACTGGGAGAATGTTGCAACAGCACCAAGGCTTGGATGGCCAAGGCGCGTTCAGAGTTTGCTTTCTCCTTTTTTGAGCGATGTGACAACGTGAGCTCTCCCTCCAACCTAACAGCAATGGCCTCCAACCTAAGAGCGATGGCCTCCAACCTACTGCTTTCACTTTTCACTGGGCAGGTGGTTCCCAATATGGTTTTTGTCAGCATCGCTGCTGCCACTGCCATGGCAACAGCTGGAGGGAAGAGCAGAAGTTTGTTCGTGGGACAATCCAGGCGAGGCACACCAACCTAGTTGGACCAAGCCCAACATGCAGTAAAAGGGCATCGCTACTACAACAATACTAGGAGCAAGGACACTACCAGGAGCAAAGGGCATCGCTACTAATAACAATTTCACGCTCTGACTAGTAGCGTCCTTGTTCCTAGTAGTAAGGCCAGGAGCGCCTTAGTAGCGTCCTTGCTCCTAGTAGCGATGCCCTTTGCTACTAGTAGCTTCTTGTGGCGCTCTTACTTAATTATGTACTTGTAGGTGCCTTTCCTCCTCTTAGGATGTAAGCTTCTACTTAGGATGCAGGATAGCTCACGCTCGTTGGATTCGGGCGCTAGGAGGGCAGCCCGTGAGGTAAAGCAAGTAAGGAGTAGCTAAGCAAACAAGAAGCTACCGATCGGACGAAGGGCTCGAGCTTCAAGGGAAGCTTCCTTAAAGAAACGAGGAGCTTCCTTTGGTGGAAACAGATCAGGGTCTCCAACCTGGTAGCGATGGCCTCGAACCTATTAGGGAAACTTCTACATCTTGGATGCAAAGAGTAGTTTTCGACATTTTAGCGCTTGACATCTCCCTTCGTGCTACGTTCCGCACATTGCACTGCAAAGTCCATACTGTTTTGCAGGTTCCTTTGCCCTAGAAACCTTTGCTGTCCTGTACTTGTCTCTCGGAATCTCAACGTTTTATGCTTTCGTGCTCTCGCTCATACTGGCCTTGATATATTTTATACATTCTTCTCTGGATACCTCTCTGTTACATCTTGTCTCTACAATCGGAAGCATTTCTGCTTTTTCTGTATATTTCTACTCGCAGATCAACCCAGCCCACACTTGATGCAGTCTTCACAGAACAATTTGCAACCTTTAGTTTTGCATCCCGACTGTAAATATCTGAGGCCTAAAGCACACACACACACATCACGTAGCCACTGGGATTTGCAAACTTCCCCCTTGTTGTTCCCTAATTTTCAGCTTGGCCACGTAAATAGCTTTGACCAGCACTGCGCGCAATTCGTCCCGCCCACTCCGCGATGTTGGCCACATTCGACACATCCTTCGGAAACGGCGTTTCGTGTGACCTCTTGTTCGCAGATATGGGCTCTACTCATGCACTGCCTTTGGCACACATACACTGCCTGTTCTTAGTCCCGTGGCTTGGAAATTGTCAAGCTAGAGCTCCCTTGACCCCACACTCACGGTCACACACGCATAGAATGTTCTCGACAAATCAATGAAGGTCTCATGGGCAGAACAAAGTCGTATTCAGAAACCAATGTGCACGGGTTTTCCAATGTAGGGATTGGTATGTTATCATATTCCGCTACAAGTCTTCAGACAAACAAGCTATTGGCTCACATGGTGCATCTTATGTTCACCTTGCTGATGCCCTTCTACTAGTGCAATCGTCCCACTCAAACGTCACACAAAGTGAAATGACAAACACAACAGAGAGTGTTCCTTGTATTTTTTCTTTGTTTAGCAATGGCCTCCAACCTAGAAGCGATGGCCTCCAACCTAATAGCGATTGCCTCCATGGACAACTTGCTACTTCGTGAGAAAGGGTTGCACTTTCATGAGACCGTGGTCGGTTCTCGTTGACAGTTGCTTTGTCGAAGCACGCAACCTACCTATCGTTTTATTCTGTCCTTTTGGCTCCACACTGTAAGCAAACTAGGTAAGTAAGTGAGTGAGTAAGTAAAGGAGATAAAGCAAGTAAAGTCCAGTCAACTTAATCTAGGCTCAGTACTAGGTAGAGCTTGGGTTCTTGAAGCAAGGGCCTTTTGCACAAACCAAATCTACCCTTAGATTTGAAACAAAATTGGTGTCGCCTGTCGGATTCTCGCTGCAAAAATTCCTACGGAAAACAAAGCCCATTGAGTCATGAGCGCCATGAATCTGGTATTGCGGGTGGGCAATACAGTGTAGCTCGACCTTTCCGCAAAGAGTGTGGCTACACACTAAGGAGATCTGACCCTAGGTGTAAAGGCCAGTTTTTGTTTGGGAGGGTTGCATTTGTTCGCGAACTTTTCGCATCAATGTGTCACTGGGCAGAACTAAGCAGGAACAATAGAATGCAAGTGTTGTGGACTTCAAGGGAAAAGTCGTTGGTTCTTCACACGGAGAAGTAGAAGTTTCTCAGAAGTAGCATTATCTTTCGTAGTACACATGTCTAGTACGCGACTTTGGGAGCTCTGGGTTTTGTTTGTAGTACAAACAATAACAATAAGAAGCAGGCAAAGAGACAAAGCCCAGACAAAGGAGACAATTTTTTTCTCTATTTGTTTTCTCCAAAATAATGCACGACAGTTCCAGTTCTTGCATGTGGATGCCTCCTTCCCGGCTCTAACATTGTGCAACCTGAACTGTTTGGCGTTGTTGGCCGGGGAGTCTTCGGCCGCTAAGAAGGGGGATGAAGGGGGTGAGGGAAAGAACTAGTAGCGTCCTTGTTACTAGTAATAAGGCCAGGAGCCCCTAGTAGCACACCTAGTAGCGATGTCCCTTGCTCCTAGTAGCTTCTTGTTCCTAGTAGTGTGGGAAAGAACAAAATAGAATCATATCATATACCTTATTATTCGCACGCATATGTGGCAACGCATGGCCTGCACGAGCAAGATTACGTAGCAATGTTTCAATGCAATTGCTGCAGCTGTGTGAACAATTGCTGCAAGTTCTGTCTCACAAACTGGGAACACATCTTTTGGATAAGGCCAATAAATGCTACTAGTGACAAAGGGCATCACTACTACTAGTAGCTCCTGGCCTTACTACAAGGAACAAGGACTCTACTATTTGCTACTAGTAGTAATGCCTTTGTTACTAGTAGCGATGCCCTTGTTACTACTGGCAAGGAGTCGCTACTAGGCTGTTTCACCTGTGTCGCTCGCAGGCCCAGCCGCCAAGTGAGCTGCGAGCGAGCACAACAAGATGTTCGACAAGTTCCTTGCACACGATGTTTCGATTGAAACCGGTCGGAAGATGTGTCCACACAGAAGAACCCCTAAAGAACCCTGAATGCAAATCAACTCAGCAAGGTCACAGCAAGTCACAAGAACATCCTGAACAGACGTGGCCTTCGTCATGTGGGCAAATGCATTTTGTGGGCGTGAGAAAAAATCCTTGTTCATTCCCTACCTAAATAGCGATGGCCTCCAACCTCCTAGCTTCTTAGTAATGCCCTTGTTACTAGTAGCGTCCTTACTACTACGTAGCAGCGATGCCCTTGTTACTAATAGCCATGGCCTCCAACCTAGTAGCGATGCCCTGCCTTATTCATGTCCTTTTTGAAGTTTTCACACCGTTCAATTGCTGCAAATAAGGTTCCTGTTCACGTGGAGGAAGAGGAGGCTCAACCCACAGGGTGACGTCGCCCAACAACGCGCCAAATCAGCAAGTCTTGACCTTTGTGAGGTGGGCATTTCTGCATCTCCACCAGCAAATCTGTACGTAACTTGGCATGTCTCAGCAGTCTCAGCTTGCCTTTACCTGGGAAGAGGGCAAACTGGCCCCTAATGCAAATTTGGAGCTTGGACTTGCTTCTTGCAAGAAGAATGTTTTGCTTACCCTTCACTAACACGCCCGAGATCACAGTGAACCGTGCTTTGGCCTGTTTAGTAGACACATCGATAATCTTCGATCTATGCCTAAAAAGATTACCAATGTAATAAAAGAAAACCACACATGCTGAGTAGCCCCCGCAATTTGTTTCCAGCAGTTTCGCCGTCCAGACTTTTGTTTGATCCTGGGGCGGCAAGACCTGGGGTGGAGTTGAAGGTGCTGGGAAACGCGTCAGCTCTGGAGATGCTTTGCATGGCCTCCTTGGTGAGTTGTTTATTACATTTAAGAGCAACAAGCTGCTGGTCTTCATGTACTCTGAAACTGTCGTGGTGAAACTCATTCAGAAGGAAACACTTACAAGCCGTTTGAGATTCCTCAAGAAACACTGTTGACTTCCACTCGTCGTGTTGCCCAGACCATTCGGAGAGCAACAAAAACCTGAGGCAGATATTCTCCACATGTCAATGTACCGAGTGAACATTGCAACATGAGACGTTCTTTTCACATGTCCATCAACCCCTCTCACTTGCGGCGCAAGTCCTTTGCGACCTCAAGTTGGCCCTTGAGCACCAGCATGCTACAAGCCTGTTTCCCTTGGAGGAAAACCACTTCGCAGCTTCTGAGCGCACTTCGTTCTAGCTGTCGGACTTCCTTTGCTTTGCTTTGATGTTGGTAGTGGAGGATCCTCGCTGCTTTATCATGGAAGACTTGAGAGCCCCCCTGGCGGTTGAGGTTTCGATCTTTTAGCCGAGCGCGTTCAGAAGGCCGGTTGGTGAGCCAAAGATGGGTGAAGGATAGGAAGCAAGATAGGGTCGGTGATCAATCTGAAGCTGCAGCAGCTGAAGTTTCTGTTCCACCCTCGCCTACCACAGTAACTGGAGGCGGAGCAAGAGACATGTATGCTTTGAAGGGCAGTGGCTCTCTAAAGGCCGATGACGCAGGCGCGCCCTGTAAGCCCACATGATGCACCTGGCGTGGGATGCAGCCGAGCATCTGTATCTGAGAGAGGCGTCCTCTCTTGGACGAACGCTATTCCAGTTTGAGGAGTAAGTTGAAGTGCAAAATCGTTGCAACAAGTTCCTTGACGCCCTCGCAAAGCTTAAGCAAAAGGATCTACAGAGCTTCCTCGTGCGGCATCGCTCTGCGTCGAAAGCACAAGAAATGTGGGCGTAGAAGTTCCTTCGTTTGTTGGCAAGGCCTCCACCCTGCTGGACACACTCCAGGTCAAAGCCTTTTGCAATGGAGACCTGAAGTTATAAGCAAGATCCTCAGCAAGGTCTTTGGTGGAGACCACGCGCCGGACGTGCAGGATTTGTTTTCATGTATTCAAGCAGCCCCAATCACCGTGATGAGTTCCTACGGAGAATATCGTGGTTAGTTTTTCAAGCACAACGATGAGAGGACTGGCGCAATGATTTTTCCACGAAAATGATGGAGGCGTATAGAGGGCGAGGCGCAGGCCTAAACGAAAGGAAATAGAGACAAGACGGTTCCCTACCCATCCGTCCGGAAAGAAATGAGGCCACCTGTGTTTGTTGTTGTTGTCGTTGCTGGCTTCACAGCGAACAAATTAGCAACAAACAACATGTTAGTTGCGGCTCCAGATTTGGAGTCGATTTGAGTATTGTCATTGTTGCCCACTCAAATTTGTGTTCTCCACCTACTCATGTGTTTGTCAATGGCTTTTCCATGGTGTGATTGGTTCATTAATGTGTGTTACACTTTGTCGTTGCTTACCTCGCAAGTTTCAGCAACTTTGCGACACGTTGAGGAACTCTTCGGAACACCTTCCACTGCAGATTCGAAAGACATCAAGAAGACGCCCGGCAAAACGTTCAGTGGTGGTGATTCTCATGATCTATGAATCATATGAATGTGATATTGACCTTATGACCTGTGACCGACTTTCTCAGGAAATATCACGACTTGCAGAAGTCCAAACCCAAGCTCGGGTTTAGATGCTAGTAGCGATGGCGTTTGCTCCTATTAGCGTCTTTGCTCCTAGTAGCGATGCCAGGAGCCCCTAGTAGCGATGCCCTTGCTCTTAGTTTAGTAGTTTCTTGTTCCTAGTGGGAAAGAGCACCGGTAAGACCTGGGGCGGTCTTCAGGCTTTGCCATCCTGATGTCGCAGGCCCAGAGGGCGAGGCGCCCATTGAAATCGCGGCATGTTCCTTTAGTTTGCGAGGTCTTAACTCCAAAAAATGGGTTTAATTCATAATGTGTTCATGTTTCTGCAATTATTTAGGTTTCCAGATCAAAAACCATAATCCATAATCCAGCATTTACGCATACCGGTTGGGATGCCCAAGCATTTCAGCCGTTCCAGCCGTTTTCGCCTCATCATTTAGCCATTTCAGTGTTGTCAGTCATCGCCCATGAATACGGCAGGGGAAATCCGGAAAGAGTGGGGCTAGGTTGGAGGCCATCGCTAGTAGTTTGGAGGCCATTAACGTTTTTGTCGTTCTGCACGGTGAAGATCCAAAGGTGACGACAAAGTGCTCAAGTTTCAGGTTGTGAAGTGCATAATGCTCCAAGGTGATAAGAAACGGGTGGCGTTTCGGTAATTACGGTTGTTTGGTCCAAGCATCCTCATACGAAAGCGTTTGTATGTTTGTGGTTTAATATCGGCTGCTTCGAAGGGTGCATATAAAGATCTATATCTATGTCTCGTGTCAACTTGCAAAACTTTTATATACATAGAGTTAGATAGACAGACAGAATTGCTTGCTTGCTTGGTTGGTTGGTTGGTTTGTTGGTTTGTTGGTTTGTTGGTTGGTTGGTTGGTTGGTTGGTTGGTTGTATGTAGATAGGTAGATAGATAAATACTATAGATATGATAGATATATGGATAGATGGATAGATACGCAAACCCATGTATGAACAACGAGTGGGTCTTTGCTCGTGAACACCAATGGAATATGCTTCCATACAGGCAGGTGGTGGTTTCGCGCAACAGGCAGGTGTTACGCATGAAACTGCAGATGACCTACAGGTCCATGGACAGGTCCATAGAGCCGGCTTTCCTGTAAGGTCCATAGCTCTGCGGTAAGTTCCGCCGTCATTGCATTGTTCGCTTGCATTGCCGACGGGAGCCTTGTTAGTATAAGTAGATGGACAGCTGCAGTGCGCCACATCTGCAGGTCAACACATCCACTTGGGCCTCTCCTGTCATGGATTGGCCCATAAGCAACGCCAGGTCATTTGACGCCTCTCACGCTCACATCCGCCTATCAGTTTGTGGTCATTGGCGCTTTTCTGCTTAGACAAATGACAGCATGCATGCATCCACTTGCAATTCAATCTGATTTTACGCGACGTCGCGAAAGGCTGAAGAGACTTGTGCCTATTTCATGCTTGGAAAGGGGAAATGAACATCAGCCATGGGACTTATGGCTTTCGCTGCGGCGGAAGATTTCATCTTAGGGGTGAAAAATATGCGGTCGACCGAGACACAAAAGGAGCCCGCACGAACAATATGTTGCTGACAATATCAACATCGGCAGTCAACGCGTGGAGAGGTTAGCTGTTGTGTGTTTGTTTTTTGATGCTCACCAACGCGATTGTGAAACTAGACAAGACACCGCTGGCTTCACAGATTTTCGCATGATCAATGCGTTTGTGCTCACACTCATTGTCGTGATGGTGCTGCTACTGCTGGCGCTGGTTTGCTGCTGGTGATGATTGGGCGAGCCTTCCCCCTGCCCACCTGCCGTTCGTCCACCACCAAGTAGTTTGACTGTGCTTTCTTCAGGGGTTGTTATCATCAGTGATTGCCTTTATTTGAATTTATTTGTGCAGGAAATTTGCATTCTTCTCAATGATGCGTGGGAGCTGCTTTCCGACCCAGAGAAAAGAAAAGATTACGATGCTCAGATTGAGTGGCTCAGCAGGATGGTTTGCAAAGACAAAGAGAAACGGTTTACAGAAAGAGACTAAAGTGACTAAAGGCAAAAGGATAATCATTATGATATTATGTATATGTAAAAAATGTCCAAAGAAAAGAGTTATATGGTTTTGTTATTTTGAAACAAATAGATAACATGTCCATTTTCCGGTTTAACTTTTTGAGGTTGGCGAAGCCAGCAAAAATTGTGGTGAAGCCGCCGGTGTGCACCGAAATCACACCAACCTGGAAGGGCGAGAGGAAGACATTGTTCTTGCCTCAGATGTCTTGGAATGAACATGGAAGGAATGAAGCGAAGCAGAATGAATAAAGCGAATAGTGTAAATCTTCTGATTTATGTTATGTTCTATGTTTCTTCTTGTGTATATTGGAATGAACCTCAGATGTCTTCTGTAGCTAGTATTAGCCTACGGGTGTAAAACCGAACGTGTGACTACTGCGATTTTTGAAGTTGATGCTACGTGAAAGGTGGGGGGGTTGGGGTGGGGTGGGATGGAGCATATTGACGTTCGTTTGCACTTGCTATCTGAAGTTGATGCTACGTGAAAGGTGGGGGGTTGGGTTGGGGTGGGATGAGAACATTGTCATCGTTTTCACGACAAGTAATCTTCGGTTTCACAGCATTGTCATCGGTTTCATAACATTGTCATCGATTAGTCGTGTGATTAAAATGGGGTTGGGGGGGTGGGGGGGGTTGTGATGGAATGAGGATGTGGATGTCATGCTGAGAACATTGTCATCGGTTTCACGACAAGTAATCTTCGGTTTCAGTGCATTGTCATCGGCTTCATAACATTGTCATCGATTAGTCGTGTGATTTGCGGATGGCAATGGCGTTGGGAAAGCACCACGTGTACTAACTTGTGCAAAACAACTGCGCAAGTCTACTTGAGACAGGACGCATGAAAGTTGAGGACAGCCCGGGACAAAAACGGCGACGGATTTTGCGCTGGCGCTTGGGTTTCGGCAGATTCGGCTTTAAAAATGAAAGGATCCGGGACCCCCAAAAAACATCATCGAACAAGCAAAAGTACTGAGAGGGTTTGCACTTTTGAATCAAAATTTGCACGACTACACGTGCGATTCCACACCCGGCGGGTAGTATTAAGTACGCCGCTTCTAGCTGGACAGATAGGTATTGATGTGGTTCTAAGCCGATCGCGATCACAAACTGAGGAAACACCATACAGACTACACTGGGAGCCTCAAAGCATTGCCGTGGAAACACTATGAACAATCATTTTGCGATGAAAGGGTGTTGTCATTGCAGTGATCAGTGATATGTTTGTTTGTCCAATGGTCCCATGGTGTCATTTTGAGGATCCCGCTGTCTCGCAGTCGCTGGGCAAAAGTGCCCCCTGAAGATCGTGGTGAGAGGCATCTGGAAGAGAAGATCCTTGGCCCACGTTTGGCGCGCGGCCGGACAATGTTATGATGTGTTTTCATTTGTGTTTTCATGTGTGTTTATGTTGAATATAAAGCCAACGGAAAAGATATGTTTGTTGCCATGCTTTACTGTGTTTCTGTTCTTTCATTGTACGATATGGGAGCCTAGGGATTACAAAAAATATGTTGAACAGAAAATGCTTGGTTTAGCAAAGGCGCTAGAAAGGGCAGTTTCCAAGAATGCTACCAGAGGCTGCCCATCACTAGAAGCAGTAGCTTATAAATGGTGACCGAAGCGGACAAAGTCAGGTATGGTAGCTGTATTTGGTTATCGATCACATAATCATTTGCAAATCTGTACAAAAAGGCGTCGGATTGGCAGATTCTTACTGTCGGACAGTGCAAGAAGATGTGAGACATGAGCCATCAAAGATCTTTTGGCATCTCTTCTAATAGCGATGGCCTCCAACCTAGAAGCGATGGCCTGCAGCCTAAGAGCGATGGCTTCCAACCTAAGAGATCTAAGAGGGAGGAGGGGGAGCGGGCTAAGGCTCACTGCTCTCACGCCTTGACCCAGTCATAGCTCCATTTTTGAAAAGGGGCCTTACCGTCCTTACTAGTAGTAACAAGTGCCCCGCTACTAGGAACAAGTGCCTTACTAGCAGTAACAAGAAGCTACTAGGAACAAGTGTATCGCTACTAGTAACAAGTTCTATTTTTTTGGAACATGAAAAGCTTTTCTCAACGCGTTGGTGTCAGCTTCGGATGGGGTGGTCAGCGTCCTTCCATGCGCATAGCAAAGAAACACAAAGAGTTTGTTTGCAATGTCCTCAGGATGCTTTTTGTTGATGAGTGGGCTTGCATTTGCTGCCGAAACTGTTCCTTTGCAGCACTCAAGCTCAATTATTCTTAAGAGAAATGTTTGAAGCCTTGTCAGGTTGTGATGTGGCTCCGCAAACCTTTTGCATTCAAAATGACAACGGTGCTTCGGCTGCAAACACTTGGTGTTAGTGCGTGTGCCACCAAGCTGTTGTTCAAATGAAGTCACTGCCATCAGCTGAAACTGCGATGTGACACCGTGCGAAGCCAAGGACGCGCAAACGTTTACACGCAGTGGGGAAACTCCGAGGAGCAGAGCTCCCTGAGCAGATGCATGCGGCAAAAGTATGACTCAGTATGCTACACAACTGATATGTTGAACGTGTTCATAGATCATGCTAAGTCATGCTACATTTACTGCGCACACTTCACAGCGTCCGTTCAGGAGTACTTGGACTATGCTGTAGCATCTTGTCCTGTGGACTGCATCTACTGGGTGAGTCGAGAGGAGCTGCAGGCAAAGGCTTTACAGTTGCAGTGACCGGCTATTAGGTTGGAGGCCATTGCTAATAGGGTGGAAGCCATCGCTTCTAGGTTGGAGGCCATGGCTGTTGGTGTCCACGGAAATGCGTGATTACTTCCGGACTGAACAAGCAGCACATAGGTTTCATATAGCGCCCTTGAAGTGTCAACAAGTCCAAGAAGAATTTGGTGTGAGGAGTAGTTCAACTCTTGGAAAGCAAAAAAAAAGGATGTAGAAAAGGGCATGAAAACAAACAATAGCTAGAAGGAAAAGGAACTGGAATGTAGAAGGGCAAAAGGAAGAGAACAAAATTCAGCCGTAGTGGAGACGCGCGCACTGGCATCAAGAACTATTTCTCAAGCCTCTTTGCAAATTGAAATGGGATGTGGGTCAGCAGCCACCCTTGCATAATTTGCACGTGGGGCACAATGGACGCACCTGCTTTAGACACATTGATGTTCTTGCGACGCCAAATGCATCGCAAATGCTGTATGGTACAACACTTCGACTAATATAGTTTGCTATTAGGTTGGAGGCCATGGCTCTTAGGTTGGAGGCCATCGCTAGTATGGTACAAGACTTCCATTGAATATTGGCTCGTCGGGTCAATTGGACTCGATATTGGACAGGTTCTGGAGTACGTGCAGTCCTAAGCGTGGGCGAGGCAGTGGTGAAAAACTATCGTATGTTTCAGGACACCAAACGACTAAACTTTGCTCAAATCCCACAGATGACGTTTGACTAAACTGTCATGCTCAAGTCCCATCCCCTGGGATTGCTCCTAGTAGTTAAGGCCAGGAGCGCCCCGTTCGTAGCGTCCGATCGCTCCGTTCGAGTCGCGATGCCCTTGGGGTTGGAGCCAAAGAGTTTTGGTGGCTAAATCCCAACAAAAGGCATCGCTACGAACGGAGCGATCGGACGCTACGAACGGGGCTCCTGGCCATACTACTAGTAACAAGAAGCTATTTGAAACAAGAGCTAGAATTAGAATATAAATTAGAATTAGTAGCAAAGGAAGCTATTGCAGCTTTGTCCACTCACAGCTTAGGTCACCGCTCAGAAGATGGTCGATGAGAAAGGGCAGCTACCATGCCCACTCTCATATATGCAGGACGGGCTCAGAAAAGAAAGGTAATTCGCTAGGTGAAAAAAGAGGAAGATGTTTGTTGAGAAGAGTGTTTGATTTTGAGAAGAATCTAGAAAGGACAAATGTCTTGCATGCTCCTAGTAGCTTCTTGTTACTAGTAGTAAGGCCAGGAGCCCCTAGTGGCATCCTTGCTCCGAGTAGCGATGCCAGCAGCCTCTAGTAGCGTCTAAAACATATGGAGTTTTCTCCAGGAACTGAGTTGTCTTGACATTTTTCTTGCTTTCCTCGCTGACGGCTGACGGTTCTCTCGGTTCCACACAGAGTGAACTATAGACATTAGACGACAGAAGTGTAACTGAACTGATTATCGATGGCCTCCAACCTAATTAATAGCCATGGCCTCCACCCTAGTAGCGCGATGGCCTCCACCCTAGTAACAGTA